GGACAGTTGCTGCAGGCAAGATAAAATCTTGTAGTAAGTTGAATGAGGCCGTCGTGCTGTGGATTAGAGTCCCTGGTCTAAACTAATAGCTTGTTACATCTAACACCTAATCACATCAACATTCTTATTTTTTCAAGTGCAGGTTTGAAAATTGGTCTGGTTGTTGATGGCAAAGAGAGTACTTCTTTCAAAATGCAACAGTAGTTTACAAAGTTTAAAATTCAGGAAAATAATCATACTTTAAATTCTAGCCCCACTTCTAAGTAAAGGCACCAGAGACAAATGATGTCAATTGATACTGCAGAAGTCCAATTGATATACTGCAGAATGCTTACCTCATAATTTTTCCAACCTACATCAACCCAACGTGTTTCGGGGCAATGGACTCCCCCTTCATGGCTGTAGCTGCATACTAGTTAATGGGAACAATTACCACGAGTGCTCCTTTCTTTTTATCCAAGTCTGAATGTTGAAACGACCATACGGTTGCACAGAAAAGGCAGCCGCTCAATCCACAAGAGGGCCCATCACCACCATCCATAACTGGCCACTATCTGCCAGAAGGAATTCCTTCCTTTTTGCCCACACAAATTCCCATCCAGGACCAGTGACCAATCCAGTCAGTACAGCGCGGTCTCCAATACAAGCTACCTTAATTTTCCAGCATATGCACATTACTACTACTTCACACGTCATAGCCCTCTTCTAACAGCATCTAAAAATTGTCACATCTCCCTTGCCCTTTCCATCACCTCTTCTCCCTAAATAACCCTTTCTGTAGTTGCTTGTTGGAGAAATGAAGGGGATTATTAGAGCATCAATAGAGTGGCAGTTCTGAGGGTCTTTTGGGCATCTACTCAAAAGGCTTTTTATTTAAGTGAAAATAACAGTAAGATATTTAATACACATTAAAACTTTTGGGAACATTGTTGTTGAAATGAATGGTCTGGTGACGGTGTTTTTAGGAAATAAAATAAAATGGAGGTTTAATGGGAGAATTAGCACAGCAGAAACAGTTACGACCCTAATTCTCTTGCAACAGAAGAAAGCAGATGAACTATGTGACTGCTACCAGTTTAAACTTTCCCATTGTGTATTTGTTGAAAATGGATTCTGCAGTACTCTGCCGTAAGCAATTTATTTCATTGGCATTAGCCCGGCAGAGCTCCAGGATTATATCACCTTTTTGGTAAACATGGGTTCTTTTTCTGGCATGACTGTGCAACAAGCTGCAAATGTCTTTTGTAGTCATCTGAAGTGAATTCTTAAAGGGAATGTATAGTCCTTTTTGTTTGTTTTTTTTTAATAATCATTCTGATGAAAATGCCATCGTGTGATGTATTAACTGTTATGTAAAAACTGTTCTTATTAATTTGTGTATGGTGACACATAATATATATATATATATATATATGTGTGTGTGTGTGTGTATATATATATATATATATATATATATATAATATATATATATATATACAGTCATGGCCGAAATTGTTGGCACCCTTGATTTTTTTCCTGAAAATCAAGTATTTCACACACAAAAAAGGTATTGCATTAACACATGTTTTGCTATACACATGTTTATTCCCTTTGTATGTATTGGAACAAATATAAAACAGAGGCAGAAAAGCAAATATGACATAATGTCACACAAAACCCCAAAAATGGGCTGGACAAAAGTATGGCACCCTTAACTTAATATTTGGTTGCACACCCTTTGGAAAACATAACTGAAATCAGTCGCTTCCTATAACCATCAATAAGCTTCTGACACCTCTCACCCGGAATTTTGGACCACTCTTCCTTTGCAAACAGCTCCAGGTCTCTCTTATTGGAAGGACACCTTTTCCCAACAGCAATTTTAAGATCTCTCCACAGGTGTTCAATGGGATTTAGATCTGGGCTCATTGCTGGCCACTTCAGAACTCTCCAGCGCTTCTTTGCCATCCATTTCTGAGTGCTTTTTGACGTATGTTTGGGGTCATTGTCCTGCTGGAAGACCCAGGATCTTGGACGCAAAACCCAGCTTTCTGACACTGGGCCCTACAGTGCGACCCAAAATCCTTTGGTAATCCTCAGATTTCATGATGCCTTGCACACAGTCAAGGCACCCAGTGCCAGAGGCAGCAAAACAACCCCAAAACATCATTGAACCTCCACCATATTTTACCGTAGGTACTGTGTTTTGTTCTTTGTAGGCCTCATTCCGTTTTCGGTAAACAGTAGAATGATGTGCTTTACCGAAAAGCTCTATCTTGGTCTCATCTGTCCACAAGACGTTTTCCCAGAAGGCTTTTGGCTTACTCAAGTACATTTTGGCAAACTGTAGTCTTGCTTTTTTATGTCTCTGTGTCAGCAGTGGGGTCCTCCTGGGTCTCCTGCCATAGCGTTTCATTTCATTTAAATGTCGACGGATAGTTCGCGCTGACACTGATGCTCCCTGAGCCTGCAGGACAGCTTGAATGTCTTTGGAACATGTTTGGGGCTGCTTATCCACCATCCGGACTATTCTGCGTTGCAATCTTTCATCAATTTTCCTCATCCGTCCACGACCAGGGAGATTAGCTACAGTGCCATGGGTTGCAAACTTCTTGATAATGTTGCGCACTGTGGACAAAGGCAAATCTAGTTCTCTGGAGATGGACTTGTAACCTTGAGATTGTTGATATTTTGCACCACAATTTTGGTTCTCAGGTCCTCAGACAGTTCTCGTCTCCTCTTTCTGTTGTCCATGCTTAGTGTGGCACAGACAGACACACAATGCAAAGGTTAAGTGAACGTCTCTCCTTTTTATCTGCTTTCAGGTGTGATTTCTATATTGCCCACACCTGTTACTTGCCCCAGGTGAGTTTACAGGAGCATCACACATGCTTGTAACATTCTTATTTATCCGCAGTTGTGAAAGGGTGCCAATACTTTTGTCCAGCCCATTTTTGGAGGTTTGTGTGACATTATGTCGAATTTGCTTTCTTTCCTCCCTTTTTTTGTTTTGTCCCAATACACACAAAGGGAATAAACATGTGTATAGCAAAACATGTGTTAATGCAATACGTTTCGTGAGAAATACATGATTTCCTGGAGAAATATCAAGGGTGCCAACAATTTCGGCCATGACTGTATATATTCATTTCAAACACATTGCAGTGTTAAACGGATGTGGTTGTACTCTACTACTTTTTCTTTGAACGCAAGTCTGTGTGGCGGCCAACTCTTAAGCTTGCTGTACATGGATAGAAGTTTGACTAGTTCAGCAGGGACCTTCCGAATTTCAGTCCATGTGTGGCCATTGTCAATCTACTGATTTGAATTCTGCTCAGCCACGCTGTTGGTATGTTATAGCTCAATCAACGCCACAGGCAATAGGCTACAGTGCTGATCTGTGTATTGTACAATGACACAGCAAGGAGAATTCAATGTGGATGGGGGAATCGAGTCAGTGTTTTCATTCAGATCGATGGTTGACCAAAAAAACTGCCCCATGTATGGCCAGCTTTTAAGAGAACAAAGCACTCCCTGTTTAATGATATCCACTAAGACCTCTCTGTGGTGGTTAACCTGCAAACACTGAAATCGTTCAAAATAATATCTTAATGTAAATGTTATACTTTTCTTTTTAAAACATATTCATAGTTTGGTTTGCCCAATTAGTGTAGACCTCATGATCCAGTCCCTTCAGTCTAGTAGGCAGCAGGCAGTTTTATGTAAATTCACAGAAGCAAACAGAAGGCACATTCAGACAAACTTTAGTTTTTGGGCACATTTGGTCTTCAGCTCTGTGTTTTCCAGCCTGGCAGTGACAGTACAGAACTACCAAAACTTTCACTCTTGGAACTCATTCATACAGAGATCTTATTTCTGATATTGTGATTTTCCCATTGAAATAATGCAAACAGAAGAGCTCCTATGTGTCGTTTAACCCAGGACTCTGCATTCACTTTATCTGGTCTCTCACAGAACATGTAAATGCAATTATTTTATTAAATATAAACCACTAAATACCTTTTCTCATCAGCAGTGTATAGCAGTTTTGTGACTGCTTTCAGTATCTGGTCGAGCACTGGTTATTTTTGTAGGAGGAGTTTTCATCCTCTGAGTGTCCTGTGAGGCTGCATGACCCTTGACCCTGTATCTGGACAGTGCTGATTGGCCTAGTGCTGATCACATGCACCCTCCCAACAAAAACCCTCTCTAGCAATACACACCAAACTGAGCATGTGCAGAGTGGCTACTAGGGCTCTGTACTGTCAGCAGATGGATTGGGGACTGTGGTAGAAGGGGAGGATCAGAGAAGACAGGATCTAATGGCCTTTTTACACAATGTGGAGGATTAACCCCTTAGGTTTGACAGTGAGTATAACAAGCATGCTTTACTGCATATGCAGAGTGATTTTGGCTACTCCAAGGTGCTTGCAATGACTGGAACTTTTTAGTTTTTAATTGGAATTCTATGTTCTGATATGTAACAGGCTGGTTTATTCTGCAGCCTTATGTAATGGTAACATCTGGTATGGTAATAAAACCATACACTATCCAATAATTATTTATAATGTAAACCTTTTATCTGAAATGTTTCACACACAGCATGTTGTGATCTGTGGAACACACATCTTATAGTTTACATGGAGCTTAACAAACACGTCTTTGTACTACATGGAAACATCCCAGGCAGGAATCAAATTAACATATATTCGTATAGGGACGTGACTACACATCTTTTCCCTTATTGTTGCATTGTCCAGAATTGATTTTTCTCTCACAAATGATTGCTGTTGGCAAATTAAAAGCCATGTCATATTTGTTATTTCTTACAGAAGTTCCATAAAATATTTAGCAAAAATACATACATTTTATCTCATGGTAACCTTTTACATGGAGGGATGTCCAGCGTTCCTCTTAGTTCTTTTTGTTATCCCAAGTGAAGCCATAAAAATGCAAGTCTCCAAATAAAGAATATATAAAATTATTTTTTCTGTCTGTTCATTATTGTCCCTCTTTATGCTTCAGTCTATTGGTCTTACCATCATCTGGACCTTTTTGAGTGAATAGGAACCTCCCCGATATTCTGCCCAATAGATGCCATCTTGATGCTTACTACGGTATACTCCTCCTCTGTACCAAACACCGTTTAGGTTGGCGTGTGCACAAGCGTTGTACCACCATCCTCCTTTATGGAAGTGAGCGCAGTTTCCTGGGATTATGATATGTTAATTATAATATACTTGAAAAATGTGTACTAAATCATCAATAAATCTAAAGTTCAAGGTACATTATAAGAGACCAGCAAATTATGTCCGTGATCCCTAGTTGGCCAATCGTGAGAGCAGAGGCAAGGATTATCTCTTTTATGATTTCAAATGATCACTATTGTTTTCAGTATGCTGAGCTGCAGTAAGTTAACACTGGAGGGTTGTTCACAAAGTGCAGCAGGCATTGCTGCGCCTCTGAAAAGTGATCGATGCTCAGATTTTCAGAGTTTTTGACAGGCGATGAGAAGGCGATATGTCACCACCTCTCTGCTTGATTTAACCCTATAATTGCCATACCACGTGGTAGTGGTGCGGTTCCTGTGTGCCCCATAAAACTGCATTAGCTGCGTTCAGTGGTGGCACTACCTGCCAAAAGTGACATGACATTTTGATTTTATTGCAGCCATGAAGCCCAACATCATGGCCGTGGCATGTGTACAGCTGGGCAGTTAAAACTGGGTTCAGCTAACTGGATTTTACTGCCCCCTGACCTCTCACATGAGTGAGCACTGAAGCCTCTTAAATTAATTAAAGTGGAGTTCCACTCAACCTATCAAAAAATAAAAGTCAGCAGCTACAAAAACCGCAGCTTGTTTCACCGGCCATTTTGTATTCCAGGAGGCCGGCATCTTCAGTGTGGGTACCCGGATGTGATAGCTTGCAGCTTCACAGCCGGGTACCCACTACGCATGCGCGAGTAGCGCTGAGCTTCATGAATGGTCCTGTAGTCTTGTGGGACCTTTCACGTGTCCCAAAAGACTACAGGTAGGGAGGACACTTTCCGCTTCCGATTGCCTAAGCAATCAGACCGGAAGTGGGAGCGGGTACCTGTCAAATTAGGGTACCCGCTCCCCAAAGGTGCCAATCTTTAACAGGGAGTGGGGGAGCAACCCTTAAAGTGGAACTTCCACTTTTCGGTGGAGCTCCTCTTTAAACATCCAGAGAATCTTTGCAGTGACTCAAGTGGCATTTTTAACAGGTAAAGCTGAAATATGCTGCTACTACAGCTTAGGTAGGTGCTGTATATATTGATTTAAATGCCTCCACTGTAAAATGTGACCTGGGAACTGTGTGTTGATGAATCAAGCAAGAGCCAACATTCCAATGAAAAAAAAAAGTAAAGTTTTTCATTATAATTCACCTTGAAATATATTATTCAGGATGAGAATCATTTGAGTCAGGATTTGTGGTTACAGCAATCTTTATAAGAACTGGCAGTTCTCATAAAGATTTCATCAGCTTGTTTTCGCAGCTGATGAAAGATTTCTCCATGTATGGCCAGACCATTCTTGACCAGAGGTTTTAGCAGCTTATCAATGTCTGTATTCAACCTGACAATAACTTTGACAATTCTTTTTGTTTGACATCAGGCCTGAGAACTAGAAACACACACAGCTGTGTATCCCTAGTTATATGCTGCAAGGTTAACTGACATTCTCATTGCAAGGGGCATTGTTCATGTTTACTCAAAGTGGTTGTAAACCTCAACATATTCTTCCATAGTGTGTACTTGTCTCATTCCAGATTACTAAATATTATTTCTGTGTGGTGCCTCGTTTCTCTGCTATCTGAGTCACCTCTGACAAGTTTTCTTTACACCAAGAGGTAAAAAGGTGACAGGGGAGGGGGAGAGACCTCCAGCACACATCCTGTGACTGACAGCTTAAGCTCTGTTCCTGTGTGCTATGTGGAGGGGGGGGGGGGTCCCTTCCCCTTCCCTCCCCTCCCCTCAGCTCTCCTCAGGGAGGTCTATATAGTGTAACTTAAGTTATCCGCCCCCTGCTTCCTGGAAGCTCAGACAAGCTGTATAAATTCTGTGCTTTGAATGGATGTACAGAAGAGTGGGCTGCAGATAAACAAGTAAAATGTATGTAGAAGGATTGGTTTCATCTGTGTATCACTTGAGGCCAGTCACTTCACTGGGTTTAGGAAAGGATGTTCAAACACTTTAAAGCCCAACTGCAGGCAAATTAAAAATAAATTACCTCTTGCAGTGGGGCTGTGTCCGCGCTGCAAGAATTAATTGCACCATTATGTCCAGGGAAACTAAGTAAATATATTTACTTGGATCCTTCACTCCTTCCCACAACTTGAGAGGTTCCTGCAGTTTCTGCACCCCTGTGCTCTAGCAAACTAAGGCTGGACATAGATGAATCTTTTTTTTTTTTTTTTCTTCTTTTAATCAGCGACGAGACTTCACCGCCATCAGAATACACTACTCAGCAGTCTATGAGCTGCAGTCTATTGCCTGCGGTGCAGATCAAGCAGAAAATTTACAACAGGGCAGTAGAACAAAAGTTGATCTGCAGATAGATGTCTTCTGTTCAACCATAGTGGCCATTCATGGATTGAAGTTTGGCTGGTCCTTACCAAACTAGCCAAATTTCGATCCATGTATGGCCAACTTAAGATCCTGACATTAAGTCCAGAGCAGAGTCCAAAACTCTGCTTTTGGAGGTGAGGATGTTGAGGGACAGTCTACTGCCGGTTTGCGAGGTAGCGCCATCGGCCAGGGAGCAGAGGATCAGGTAAGTAAAACGATTTTTCTCCTCTCCCTGAGATAAAATTTGCTATTAATACTTGCAGTGCATGCACAACCCTACAGCAGGGGATCATTTCTTTTCCCAGAGTTGGGCTTTAAAAGGTGTATTTTAAAACCTCCAACCTTGCAAAGTTTATAGTTTCTATACAGCACATTTTTCATGTTCCGCTGCAAATGTAGCGGTTCATTATATAATCCATGGTTAAGGCATGCATTGTAACGCTCACATTGCCAGCTGCTAAAGAGACAGATACATGCTACTGGAGCATGGGCAAGCAGAAAGTGAAGGAAGACCCGCTGTATAGTTTGTAATTGTATTACCACACTTGATCAGGTTTGCAGAGGGTTGTTTCTTATTGGAAGCCATCACCCTAAAATGGTACACTTACCCAAAAAGAACAATCTATTTTATTACTGTTAGGCTTATATACAGTATATGCTCCTTACCTGTATACATGTCCCTGTCTCTGTCCAGTGTTGTAAACTGCTTGCCATTGTGCCAAACCATGGAGTCTCCAGCATTACCCTGATATGTCCCAAGTCGAAGCCTGTAGAAGTCAGACTCTGGCTCTATACGGACGCTGCTGTACTCAGCATAGACCTTCTTATTGTTCCAGTCTTCCAGTTCAATCAGCAGTTTATAGTTATCCTGGTTTGTCAGCTGATAGATGTTCTCTAATCCCAGCCAATATTCTGAATCAATGTTTCCAAAGCCTTTCTATACAAGAAGAAATTGTGCAGTGATTGTGTTATACGGCTTAATCACTATTGTTTAATACTAAAGTGTGGCGCGGTGACATGTATTTGTTCAGGTTGTGCTCTAAATCAGGGGTACTGCATTAAAATTCATGGAGGTCTGGTTGGTAACATTTTCTTTCTGCAGAGGTCCGAATCTCATTTTTCTTCTATTACTCAAGTTTTTTCACATCACAGCCCCCTTTACATGAATGTCCTCAGTCCCCACTTTTCCATCACAGCCCCTGTACATCACAACTCCCTTTTACATCTGAGCCCCCCAACATTATAGCCCCGCTTACATCACAGCCCCCCTTCACATCACAGTCCCCTTTGCAATCATAACCCCCACATCACAGCTCCCCACTCCTGACATCACAGACCCTTCATATCACAGCTCCCTTCTCTCACCTCAGCCCCCCCATATCACAGCTCCCCCTCCAACCTCCAACATCACAGTTCAACCCATATCACAGCTCTCCTCACATCACAGCCCCCCATATCGCAGCTCTCCTCACATCACAGCCCCCCAGTATTTCAGCTGTCCCCTCTCACATCACAGCCCCCCCCCCATTTCACTGCTTCCCCCTCTCACAGCCCCCCATTTCACAGCTCACTTCACAGCCCCCAGTATCACAGCTACCCCCTTTCACTTCACAGCCCCCCATATCACAGCTTCCCTCTCTCACAGCCCCCCATATCACAGATCCCCCTTTTGATATCACAGCCCCCCCACCCCATAATCTTTCCCCTACCTTAACTCATCATTGTGGAGGGCCGGAGGAATGTCAGGGTAGACTCCTGTTCTGTACGTACTCGCATGCCGCCACTGCTACTATCCTCGCTGCTGTTGAAGTCACAGCAAGATGGAGGGTGGGAAGAATGGAAGGAAGATCTCCTCTCCTGAATGTTTTCCGGTTTGCCGCCACTGAACTCAGGGTAGGGATGAGGGCGGGAGGCACAGAAGGTCTCCACTGAGGGTGGAAGCTGCCCAACTCATCTTGTTAAAAAGCGAGTGACCCGCTTTTAAAAATGAAGGGTTGGCTTCCCTTCCCCGCTCCCCCTGTAGACCTGCAGTGTCTCCTGCCTTCCTCTATGCTGAGTTCAGTGGCGGCAAGCCGTTGCATTCAGAAGAAGGAGGTCTTTCTTCCATTCCTCCCACCCTCTTCCCTGCTGTGACTTCAACAGCAGCGGCAACAGGCAAGTACATACAGAACAGGAGTCCATCCTGCCATTCCTCCCGATTTCTAACAGCTGCAGCGGAGGGAGGAGAGGAGTCCACTCAGGCTGCTAAGCGGTGTGGCCGCATTCCGGACAGGACTGTCACTCGGTCCGTCATTTTGTGACACCTGCTCTATATCAAACTGTTAAACCACAAAGTCTAACAAAGCAATTATATATTGCTTCTTGCACACAGTATGGGCCAATTCACACCAGTTAGGACATCTGATAAACAATAATTTCCAATGTGTCCTATTCACACACTTAAATGCAACATGTATGCATTTTAACGCAACGGATGTAAGCCGATGCAAGCGGATATCAAAACAATGCACAGGATATCCTGTGAAAATGCAGTATGCTTTAACACGCTAAAATGTATGTCAACAGACCTCAAAATGTATGCCAATGGATGTCATGAAAATGAATGGAAATGTACATCCATTTTGTATATTTTAGCATTTTAGTCCATTTTGTACATTTTAGCGCAAGTCAGTGTGAATTGGCCCTCATACTACATACCCTTTGGAATACCCAACATATATATAAAAATGTGTTATCTAGTTTACTTTATCCTAAGCCACTGAATTGAGAGCCACGTGACTTGTGTTGCTGTGATGTTGCCTATTTCAAAATCCATGGCATTAGGATAATCAGGAGTTGCATATTTATATAATTAGTATGATGTATGTTTTGTGTGCATGAGAGGGCACCTAAAAGGTAGTTAAAATGGGGCTGTGCACACCATAGCATTTAGGTGCATTAAAGTATTGTATGGTGCATTTTAGCTGTACAGCCATCAAGTTCCCTGTAAGGTAATTGAATCCATTCTGATATGATGCTTTTCACTTTTGCTGACAGCACGAAGGGAAACTATTTGTGAGCCACACCAGTTCTTAAAATATTGCTCACTCTGGCTAAAGGTGGTTTTGAATCTTCCAATTATTCTTTCTGATTAACTAGGACAAAACCAGGTAATGGATGAATTTTGTAACTTGCTAGTATAGATGTTTGAGCTCACCTTGTATGTCTCCCAGTTCCTGAAAAAGTTAGCAGATCCATCACTTCTTCTCTGTATCACTGCCCAGCCTCCAGGGTCCAGATTGTTCTCACACCATAGCTGCATGTGACTATTGGCATTGGTGGGCTTTATCAAGTATATACCACTGCTAGTAAATCCTGATTCTCTGGCATGCTTGCAGTCTCTGAATGGGCCTGTTGAAAGTCATAGGTACAGTTTTATTACAACCTGTAATCTAATAAAAAATGTAAATGTCACCCCTAGTGTAACATCTATAGTAAAAATAATCTGATTACTTTAGACTCACTGCAAAACACTTTAGTATTGACAAGAAGAAAGTGAAGACAAGTGACCTCCATCCAATTCATCCCAAAGGTGTTCTATTGGGTTGAGGTCAGGACTCTGTGCAAGGCAGTCAAGTTTCTCCACCCCAAACGCGCTCATCCATGTCTTTATGGACCATGCTTTGTGCACTGGCGTGCAGTTATGTTGGAAGCGGAAGGGGTCATCCCCAAACTTTTCCCACAAAATTGGGAGCATGAACTTGTCCAAAATGTCTTGGTATGCTGACGCCTTAAGAGTCCCCTTCACTGGAACTAGGGGGCCAAGCCCAACCCCTGAAAAACAACCCCACACCATAATCCCCCCTCCACCAAATTTTTACACTCGGCACAGTGCAGTTAGGCAAGTACCATTCTCCTGGCAATTGCCAAACCCAGACATGTAAATCGGATTGCCAGGCAGAAGCGTAATTCGTCATGCCAGAGAACACGTATCCACTGCTCTAGAGTCCAGTGGCAGCGTGCTTTACACCACTGCATCTGACGCTTTGCATTGCACTTGCTGATGGTAAGGCTTGGATGCAGCTGCTCGGCCATGGAAACCAATTCCATGAAGTGCTCTAGGCACTGTTGTGCTAATCTGAAGGCCACGTGAATTTTGGAGGTCTTTAGCTATTGACTCTGCAGACAGCGGGTGAGATCTGTGCACTTCAGCATACACTGACCCCGCTCTGTCATTTTATGTGGCTGAATTGCTGTTGTTCCTAGTTGCTACCACCTTGTTATAATACCACTATCAGTTGACTGTGGAATATTTAGTAGCAAGGAAATTTCACAGATGGACTTATTGCACAGGTAGCAACCTATCACGGTACCACGCTTGGAGTCACTGAGCATTCTTTCACAAATGTTTGCAGAAGCAGTCTGCATGCCTAGGTGCTTTATTTTATACACCTGTGGCCATGGAGGTGATTGGAACGCCTGAATCCAATGATTTGGAATGGTGCCCCAATACTTTTGTCAATAGTGTGTTTTGTATAATATAGTGTGTGTGTGTGTATGTATATATATATATATATATATATATATATATATATACACAGTTGCAAGAAAAAGTATGTGAACCCCTTGGGATTACGTGGAATTTTGCATGAATTGGGCATAAAATGTGCTCTGAACGTCATCTAAGTCACAACAATAGAAGAACACATTCTGCTGAACATAATACTACACAAACATTAGATGTTGCCATGGTTTTTTTAATTGCACATAACATGTAAACATTCACAGTGCAGGGAGGAAAAAGTATGTGAACCTTTGGACTTAATAACTGGTTGACCCTCCTTTGACAGCAATAACCTCAACCAAACGTTTCCTGTAGTTGCAGATCAGACCTGCACAACGATCTGGAGTAATTTTGGACCACTCCTCTTCACAAAACTGTTTCAGTGTAGCAATATTCTTGGGTTGTCTGGTGTGAATCGCTCTCTTAAGGTCATGCCACAGCATTTCAATCAGGTTGAGGTCAGGACTCTGACTGGGCCACTCCAGAAGGCGTATTCTGTGCTGTTGTAGCCATTATGTTGTTGAATTACTTGTATGCTTTGGGTCATTGTCCTATTGCATCACCCATCCTCTGCGGAGCTTCAGTTGGCGGACAGATGGTCGTACGTTTTCCTGCAAAATGTCTTGATAAACTCTGGAATTCATTTTCCCATCAATGACAACAATCCGTCCAGGCCCTGAGGCAGCGAAGCAGCCCCAAACCATGATGCTCCCTCCACCATGTTTTACAGTGGGGATGAGGTTTTGATGTTGGTGTGCTGTGCCTTTTTTTCTCCACACATAGTGTTGTGTGTTCTTCCCAAACAACTCAATCTTGGTTTCATCTGTCCACAGTATATTTTGCCAGTAGTGCTGTGGAACATCCAGGTGCTCTTTTGCAAACTTCAAACGTGCTGCAATATTCTTTTTGGACAGCAATGGCTTCCTCCGTGGTGTCCTCCCATGTACTCCATTCTTGTTTAATGTTTTCCTTATTGTAGATGTGTCAACAAAAATGTTAGCATGTGCCAGAGATTTCTGTAGGTCTTTAGCTGACACTCTGGGATTCTTCTTTACCTCATGCAGTATTCTGCGCTGCGCTCTTGCAGTCATTTTTACAGGATGACCACGCCTAGGAAGAGTAGCAACAGTGCTAAACTTTCTCCCATTTGTAGACAGTCTGTCTTACCGTGGACACATGAACATCAAGGCTTTTGGAGATACTTTTGTAACCCTTTCCAGCTTCATGCAAGTCAACAATTCTTGATCGTAGGTCTTCTGAGAGCTCTTTTCTGTGAGGCATGGTTCACATCAGACAGTGCTTTTTGAAACCAGTAAACCCAAAACAGGTGTGTGTTTTTAAGGGCAGGACAGCTGTCAGCAACACATCCAATATCATCACACTGATTGGAGTCAAGGTTGGCTCGCTCCTGGCTCCAATTAGCTCTGGGAGAAGTCATTAAGCTAGGGCCTCATATACTTTTTCCTCCCTGCACTGTGAATATTTACATGTTATGTGCAATTAAACCATGGCAACATCTAATGTTGTGTGTAGTATTATGTTCAGCAGACTGTGTTCTTCTATTGTTGTGACTTAGATGACGTTCAGAGCACATTTTATGCCCAATTCATGCAAAACTCCATGTAATCCCAAGGGGTTCACATACTTTTTCTTGCAACTGTGTATATATATATATATATATATTTTTTTTTTTTTAAAGGTTTGCGACAGAGTACAATAGAATATAACCTTCAAATAACAGGCAAATGGCGCTTATATTTTATACATCGGGCCTTGGTCATACATATTTTTCTGTAGTGTTTTTTTACCAGGATGCATAAGGCCTTCAGTTACTATTATACAACTGCATGCTGATATTATTTATGGTGGAGAGCTATTTGTATATTTTTTTTTCTATATTTTATTAAAACATTTTTTATGTTAAAAAAAAAAAAAAGAAGTCTTTGAAAGTAGATTGTTGATAAAGGTTGTACTACACAGATCTATTACAGCAGAATGAGTACAATGTCCGTTTCTGGGTACAACCGTGTACAAGCCAGGAGAATATTGTACAGATTGCATGGTGAGTGAGAATGGCTAGGAACATGGGGGAAGGCAAAGGATCAGGGAATCTGTTTGTTCAGTATAGCAGTTGTTTTGTCATTGACCATCATCCATGATGGTCTTTATTTGACCTCTAGGGGATTTTGCTATACTCTGATTGCTGTGAGAAGAGTTTTTTTTGCTTTTGTTTTTTGTTTGTATTTTTCTTGTTTTTGGTATTTGTTTTGTATGTTTTTTTTTTTTTTTGTCTTGCTAATAAGAATATACACATTTTCTATGTCATCTTGCATCTACCAGTGTGGTGTTGTGCTGTGGGGATGTTGAGAGTATTATATGTAAGGCGTAATACTGGAGTTCTGTGCTATCGTATTCCTGCTGGAAGAAGTCAACTGTATCTGCAGCCTCTGAGCTGTGACTGTTTATGGTGCAGTAGAGTGGCCTAGATAGGTTGGAGTTGATGAGGCAGAAGATGAATAGTTTAATATGTTTAGTCTTTGTCTTATTGTTCTCACAGCATGACTTTCTGTACCACCAGAATGAAAACGGAGACTTTTGTTTGTTTGCTAGAAATTGTGATTTTTGTCAAACCTGCTTTCTGTAAGGCCCCTCAGGATCCCCGGGATGTTCTTTTCAATATTGACGTGGCATTCTTCATTCCTCTGGATAAAGCTTATATTTCTTTTTCTAGTTTTTTTTCTATGTCCTTTTTAAGAGTGGAAATGTTACTTTTGTATTTAAATGACCAAGAACTTTTTTATATTACAATGAAAATTTCCTTTCTTATGGTCAGTCATGAAAATAGTTTACTATTAATATATGATAGATGGGAAAGTTGCGTATGTATGAAAACAAATCGGACAACACGTAGTCAAAAATGTCGCAAGCATATAATTATTTGATGTTTAAATTTGTCATACAACAGCTGCTTCTGGTAATAATTAGCTTTAGCTATTGTGAAAGCTTATGTGGATGTCTCTTCAAGGGACTGATGAAAGAGGTAGGCAGGTTCTACAGAAACACAAGTATTCAATTATAGCGACAGAAACCATCTCCATTGCACATGGAATGCGGCTAATTTTTGAAATTTGGAGAACTTTTTGTTTCAGGCTACAAAAAAGTGGATTTGTTGGTAAACTAGAACAATGAACTTTTCTTTTTTGTTCCTGTTTAGAATGGTAACTATACAATTTGAAAGCATTTTTTCAGTTCAGTGGATGTAAAAAAAAAAAAAAATCTCTTGATCCTACCAGAATTCAGTTTGCTGGAAAAAAAAAAAAACGCAGCCGCTACATCTAAAGACTTTACAGTTGCATCATTGATTGATTGGGCTATAGTATTTAGATGCACTTTAAATATACACTACAATCTAGTGTTAATTCTTGCATCGTATTATTCTATTTTGTTACTAATCCTATATAAAGTTTCAATTTATGGATTGTATCATGTGCATCCCCGCCCCTCCACTCTCATTTTCCAATCACAGAACACTTTGTGTTCGGTGAAATAGCACAAGGCCTTTAGCAGTTGCTTCCATGCCAACAGCACCCAAAAATCCAGTGGAGCTGCTTTGTAACAAGATAGGATTTTAATACAATACAGCAGTACCACACACACACACAGCATACCTATTACCTCTTTCTTATATAGCTGGTGCCGTATAGAGAATAAAAAAAACAGTGGTCCTGATGGAAAGAGTGTCAGGAGGCAGGCTCAGTAGAGGAATCACTGTTTGTAGACAGCAAGATATCATGGGATATATAGTTAGAAATTGAAAGTTAACGGCATGGGAAAAGCTGCAAAGCAT